AAATCCACAATCTCAGAAAATTAGAATATTGTGAAAAGGTGCAATATTCTACGCTCAAAGTGTCCCACTCTAATCAGCTAATTAAGCCATAACACCTGCAAAGGGTTCCTGAGCCTTTAAATGGTCTCTCAGTCTGGTTCAGTAGAAATCACAATCATGGCAAAGACTGCTGACCTGACAGTTGTGTAGAAAACCATCATTGACACCCTCCAAAAGGAGGAAAAGCCTCAAAATGTAATTGCAAAAGAAGTTGGATGTTCCCAAAGTGCTGTATCAAAGCACATTAATAGAAAGTTATGTGGAAGGGAAAAGTGTGGAAGAAAAAGGTGCTCAAGCAGCAGGGATGACCACAGCCTGGAGAGGATTGTCAGGAAAAGGCCATTCACTGAGGCTGCAGTCAGTGCATCAAGAGCCACCACACACAGACGGATCCTGGACGTGGGTTTCAATGTCGTATTCCTCTTGTCAAGCCACCCTGAACAACAAACAACGTCAGAAGCGTCTTACCTGGGCTACAGAAAAACAGACCTGGTCTGTTGCTCAGTGGTCCAAAGTCCTCTTTTCTGATGAGAGCAAATGTTGCATCTCATTTGGAAACCAAGGACCCAGAGTATGGAGGAAGAATGGAGAGGCACACACTGCAAGATGCTTGAAGTCCAGTGTGAAGTTTCCACAGTCTGTGTTGATTTGGGGAGCCATGTCGTCTTCTGGTGTTGGTCCACTGTGCTTCATTAAGTCCAGGGTCAACGCAGCCATCTACCAGGAGATTTTGGAGCACTTCATGCTTCCTTCCGCAGACGAGCTCTATGGGGATGCTGACTTCATTTTCCAGCAGGACTTGGCACCTGCCCACACTGCCAAAAGCACCAAAACCTGGTTCAATGACCGTGGGATTACTGTGCTTGATTGGCCAGCAAACTCGCCTGACCTGAACCCCATAGAGAATCTATGGGGCTTTGCCAAGAGAAAGATGAGAAACATGAGACCGAACAATGCAGAAGAGCTGAAGGCCGCTATTGAAGCATCCTGGTGTTCTATAACACCTCAGCAGTGCCACAGGCTGATAGCTTCCATGCCACGCCGCATTGAGGCAGTAATTGCTGCAAAAGGGGCCCAAACCAAGTTTTGAGTACATATGCATGCTTATACTTTTCAGAGGTCCGATATTGTTCTATGTACAATCCTTGTTTTATTGATTGCATGTAATATTCTAATTTTCTGAGATTGTGGATTTGGGGTTTTCATGAGCTGTAAGCCATAATCATCACAATTAGGACAAATCACGGCTTGAGCTATCTTGCTTTGCATGTAATGAGTCTATCTCATATATTAGTTTCACCTTTTAAGTTGCATTAGTGAAATAAATGAACTTTTGCACGATATTCTAATTATTTGAGTTTCACCTGTATATGATCCCAGTAAGTTGGGGTCCTTACCAGGTTTTGGCAAGGCTTTAATATAGGCCTCATTCCCCGTGGGCAGATAACAGCCATCTCTCCAGATTTGGGAGTAAACTTCGCCAAGTCTGGAGGAGAACTGGTCTCATAACTTGAAGAATTCAGTGGTGTAGCCGTCAGGCCCTAGTTCCTTACCCCTGCTAGGTTTTATATAGTAGAAGCAATTTCCTCTTGGGTGATAGCGGCACTTAAAGTGTCCAGTTGAGAGTCTGTAATTTTGGGAAGATTTATGGAATCCAGGTAGGCATGTGTAGCTGGTGATAAAACCTGATAATCACTATACAAGGAACAATAGTATTCCCGTAAAATTTCATGAATCCTTTTTGGATCAATGGTTTTAATACCACTAGTATCCATCAGCATTTTACCGCATTTGTTTAGTTCAATCTCATTTTTGTGGATGATACTGAGCTGTGTAGGGCAGTCAGTTCTCAACAGGACAAATTCTTTTCATTGGGCCCTAGATAAAATTTAATCAGATACGGAAGACTTGTTTCACTCCTTGCCGGAAATCCCCGTATTTGGAAAGGGTGCTTAGAATGGCTGCGGATGGCGCCGCCAGTTGCAAATGGTATAAGAGAAACGTCACCAGTTGAAGAAATAGGTCACCAGCACTCAAAAGAGTTTAAAAATGAATAAGTCCTTTTTATTGGACCATGGTGTCACGACAATCAAAAAGAGCCAAACTCTTTTTGATTGTCGTGACACCATGGTCCAATAAAAAGGACTTATTCATTTTTAAACTCTTTGAGCGCTGGTGACCTATTTCTTCAATTGTTCGTTTTGCACGGCGCCATCCGTGGAGTTACTACAAGCACCATCTTCGTGTATTGGCCGGGACTGCTGAAAGGTGTGCGGAGAGCACCCTCACCTTACAGAAACGTCACCAGCACACCAAATTCCTTAAAGGATCATCAATCATAGATTTATTGAAAACACACAAGTGCTTTCGGGGCCACGCAGGGTCACTTCATCAGGCATAGCAGTGACACAATTGCAAACAGAGAAGGTTTAAATAGACAGTGATAGTGAAGAAACACCCGTAAACACACCCCCTGACGTCGCTATGACGTCACAAAAAACGCCAAACAGCTGCAAACATGTAATGAAGAATATGGAAGACAAACTTCAAATAATCATTTAGGATGGGAAAGGTTCATCCAGTATTGATTTAGTTAACAGTGTGACGATGTCCAGATAAAATTAAGCAGAAGTGCCAGATCAGGATTTGCTGAAATAAAGTAAAACGTGACCAAACTTACCGTCACATTGTGCAGGCTGATGTCGGGTTGCTATGTTAACAGAACGCCGCCGTTCGATTCGATCGGTAATTCAGACAGACAAAGGGACCGCCCACTGGCGCACGTGCCGTGCGGGACTAGTGTAATGATGTCTGCTAGAGAGAGTTGCTGATGGGCATGCATGGAACGCATGGCCATCTTGGGCTCAAGCAGACAGACTCGAAAACATTGCCTAGACAACCACAGACTATCAGAGATGCACACGATCATTGGCAGAGTGGCAGGCATCGTGGAAAAGGGCACTTTATGACATAGATTCCAAAAGCACAGGAGTGACATTCGTGTTGCAATTACGAAAGCACAGAAAGGAGAGGACATTGATTTAAACAAACCTGTGGCACTACACTTTGTACAACATCATCACTAGACCCACAAATTGAGAGGGATGGTGAATGAACACCTGACCAATGTGTTACCTTTGATCTGCATGTGACATAAGTAACAAAAATATAATTGTTTAGAAAAAAATTGATTCCAGTTTATACTCTTATTAACCCTTATTTACCCCTAATCAGTCATATTCAATTTCCATTTGCAAAGACCCTTGCCATGCTTTGTTAGCAGAAACATTACTTTAACATTTTACATGAGAAAATTATGGAGTGAGATGTATATTTTTTTTATTTATTTACAAAAAAATATTTATTTTTTAAATCTACCACTTTCAAACTTTTCTAATTTTTTTTCCTCTGTAGACTGCATAAAAATATAATATAGACAAGATTGCCAAAGAAAGAATAGTTTTTCCCCAAAAAAACAATATGTTTTACTTTGTTATCTTTTGCATTGCCAAAGTTATCACAGAATAAACAGTCCTATGATGGATTTGTAAAAATCGAACTTTTACCTGCGGGGAATGCAGGTACTAGAGCTAAAGTGGTTAAAGTACATCTAAAACTACCTGTCTATCTATAATAACCCTGTGCACATGGTAATAAGACTGCAATGATTTCACTGCATAACAAACAGCTTTGTCACCCTGTTAAAAGAAATGGAAAAATAACGGATTTACTGGCAGGATTAAAAAGCAATAAAACCAGCTAGTTGTAGTTAGTCACATTCAACTGCATTTGTTTTGTAATGTTGAAGATATTTTGCAGCTTCTCCAAGCCACGTCTTCATTTCTAGAGAGTGTCAGGAGCATACCTTGCCATTTGGGTATCTCAGTCATCTTAATCCAATCACCATGGATTGTGTCAAGCTAGATGTTGATTGTCCAATTCTTCAATTTACATGGCTTAAGGTGTGAACTCTCAGATTGCTAGGGTAGTGATGTTAAAACAGCACTATATGTGAATGGCAGAGTCTAATGTCCCCACCCCGTTTAGAGATGGTTTTCCAGTTTGATGTAACTTTGTCTTTATCACTAGGGATGGGCTTGATGTTCGAGCCAAACAACAGTTCGACTCGAACATCGGCAGTTCATGTGTTTGGCGAACACACGAACTGTCAATGCGTTCCGCAGTCTGTTCGCCCGCCGAATGCCTCACAAGGCACTGCACAGTGCCTTGTGAAGCCCTGACTGGGTAAAGCAATGCACCTGACCGCAGGTCAGGTGCAATGCTTTACCCAATCACATCACAGTGCACTGTGAGAGCCATGATTGGGCAAAGTAATGATGACTTTGCCCAATCATGGCTCACACAGCTAAGTTCTGTCAGATGACGGACACATTTAAACAGTAGGTATAGAGTATTCAATCTGTAATTGGATAGAAAAATGGCTTAAAGAACATATTCAGAGAATGGTGATCAATGATTCATACTCTGAATGGTCTGAGGTTGTTAATGGTGTCCCCCAAGGTTTAGTGTTGGGCCCCTTACTGTTTAATCTATTTAATATAGCAGCAAAGTTGGCCTGATCTAGTGAGGCAGGACCACATTCTTGATTAAAACAGGTTGGCAGCAGAGCTCTCTAACTAGACGTCCAGTCTGGTTGCCATCTTGGACATGTTCCACTGGAAAGCTTTAGTAGACCAATTGCTGCACATTGCCTTTTCTGGGGCAAAAAGGGAACATAAATAGGTGTGCATATAATTCGCACTTTTACATTTGTCAGGTCAGGGAGACGATTGGGGAAGGTTCTGGATAAGCACAATTCAAGCGAGGCTGGACAGATCTGTTATTGCTTGTTTTTTTTATATTATATTACATCTGTAATAGATTAAGCTTTCTTTTTGTTAACTCTTACCCCAACATTAAGTAGATGCTAACTATTTTAGTCTTTTTATATGTTTTTACAGAATGATGGTGGACCACTGCTCCTGTAAACCAATTCAGTTATGGGGTCAGCAAGAATTTCTGGTGCCCCAGTTTGTGCTGGACATAATCTATGGACAGACTGTCTGCTGGATTGGAACCTTCTTCTGTCCTCTGCTTCCCCTTCTAAACACAGTCAAATACTTCATTATATTCTATGTGAAGAAGGTAAATACATCCTTCGCTTTATATGCAACTTACATTGCCTTATTGCATTTAAAATTTGAAGATGAGTTTCGGGCACAGCACAAACATATTGCATACAATGACAGTTGCCCTGTATACCTGGAATGAATAGAGTTATTGCAGCAGCCTATGTGCTGATAAATAACTGTACCTTTTGTGCAGTCTAATTGCCCTTTTTTTGCAGAAGCTTCTAGTGCATGGCTTCTTTTTATACTGCATATCTCCAAAAAGAAACACTCCTGGCTGTCTACTATCAGGTTGACTCTTTCAAATGGTCAGCAGGGGTAGGTAACGCAGCAACTGCAGTCTGTACACTCCACCATCGATATATTTTTTTGAAACGGCTGATGTTCGCAGGAATCATTTGAGACATTTTTTTTTACAGTTAAAGTACATCTAAAGCCAAAACTTGTTGTTTTTATTTCTCTTCATTTTGGATACGGTAGAAGATGTTTAAAAAAACTGCTGTCAGTTTTTTGTTTTTTTTCAGGGGGGGTGGGGGCAGCTGTTTTTAATTAGGGAGAATTTCCGTTACTTCCTGTCCTATAGACCTTGTTGGTACTTGGTTCTGGCTTCCTTATAGCTATTAACGAGACTGGTGGAAAGGCAAGAGCTGTCCTAAAGTTCGACTAAGCTTTCAAAGCATAACTCCCCATTGCTTAAGGGCAGGGAAACCTGCATCAGCTGTCCAGCTGTTTGTTGTGTAGTAAACAAGTAGATACACCTCTGAGAAAATGATTTCTAAACTATCCACTCAAATGTCTCTGGGTGCAGTGCCCATTGCACTGGTGAGGAGGTCTGAGCTGGACTGATTAACCTGACAGGGCATGGTGGAAAGCTCTCAGGGTGCAGAATGCTATCTTTAGATTTAGTACATGGAACAATATGTTTTTTGATGAGGAATGGCCAGATTCCTTGTGCTGTTGCTCTTCAGCCTGCCACGCTTACTTCAGATGTAAATATGGTCCAGTAGATAGGGAGCAGAGAGTGGCAATGGAGAGAGACTTTTCTTATGTGTCTAGCACCAGAGGTATCTTTTCATGCTTTGAGTGATCTGCACCTCCTGATGCAGGATTGTCTACTAGGACAGAAGCTGCTGTTAAGGTTCAGGGAGGTGGAGCCTGCTCAAGATGGCGCTGAGCTGTGAGTAGCTGAGACATCCACGAGCTCCCTCCCAAGCCGGGTGAATAGGAACCCACAATAGCAGAGCACTGTTGCCGATTAAGCCGGCCTTCTGACCCGGTACTTTGACTTGGCGGCGGTGACGGGAGCGAGGAGCCAGTACTCACGATTGAGCGATGGGGGGCAAGAGAGCCCAGAAGAAAGACGCCACAAAAACTCCCGGGGCAGGAGCAATCAGACGGCTCTGGGCACCGGAACCAACGTCACAGGGACGCGGCGCACGGGAAGGAGGAGAGGTTGCACAGTCAGCTGACGAAGCGCCGTCCCCAGGACACCGCGGAGACCGGACAGCAGGAGACATGGATGGACGACTCAGCTCACCAGCATTTTCGGGGACCTCGGACGATTCCCATCAAGATACTGCACTATCGCTACACACATTAGCCCAATCACTACCCACAAAAGGAGACCTTACTAAGTTACTGGGACACATGGTAGACTTGACCACAATTAGAACTGAGATGTCCCAAGTATTAAAAAGGGTAGAGGACACGGAATAAAGGCTAGATGTGCACACCAAAGCGATTCAGGAACTGCAGGACCAGTGCAGGTACATGGAGAAGGGTATGAGAATGATAGCATACAAAGCTGAAGATCAGGAAAATAGAAATCGACGGAATAACCTGAGACTCAGAGGCATCCCTGAAACTGTTGGAGATTAGGAATTGTCAGATACAATCAGATAGACTTTTAATGACATGCTTAAACGCCCCAGGACTACAGAGATAATTTTTGATAGAATTCACAGAATAAGGCGCCCCATAGCAAGCGGAGGAGAGAACCCCAGGGATGTAATAGTACGGTTTCATTACTATGCGGATAAAGCACAAATTATGGAAAGCATGAAAAACGCATCAGAGATGGTTGTGAGTGGGGTCAAAATCCAGACATATGTGGACTTGGCACCAGAGACTCTGGCGCGCAGGAGAGCGCTTAAACCTCTGACCCAGGTTTTAATTAGTAGGCAAATCACATATAGATGGGGGTTTCCAGCGTGCCTCATCGCAACACACGAAGGTAGAACAGCAAGCTTGCGGCACCCGGAAGATCTAGCGGAGTTCTGTGAAAAAATGGACATTACGCCTCCAGAGTTGCCGGGGTGGCCAGAACATATGCGGAAACCAAGGACGGAGTTAGACCAACAATGGCAAAGAACTGGGCAAACAAAACAGAAAAGGAGGGGGTTATAGGAAGGAGACTGGGTGTGGGCAGGGGGGTTAGCTAGGGGGTACAAATAGAGAACCTCCTTGCTTTTCTCCTTGTTTTCTTTGTGTCTCTTTTTTTTTTTTGTGTAGTGGTATACAGAGGGTGGTGTCGTTCACGGTGCACCGTCTATTGCAGGAGGTAGAAGGTCACGGGAAAAAATTTTTAGCATGTTTCTGGGTCAGGGGGTTAAACTCAGCAACTAAAAGACACCAGATCTTGGCGGAAATGAAAAGATATGGGGCAGATGTGGATTTTTTGCAAGAGACGCACTTTTCTTACACATCTGCCTCATATTTACGCTCTAGAAACTACTCACAATGGTATTACAGTCTCTCGAATAATAAACGATCCAAAGGGGTAGCTATCGGCTTCAGTAATACTATGGCAATAAAAGTGCACTCCCAATTGACGGATAAAGAGGAAGATTCTTGTTTTTGCACGTAACGATTGGTGGGATAGAATACACACTGGTGAATATCTATGCCCCTAATCGGCAGCAAGTCCCTTTCCTCTTAAAGGTGTTTAGGAAGCTGGGGGCATTCCGGAAGGGCAGGTTGGTGATAGCACGGGATTTTAATTTATGCCTCGACCCAATGTTAGATACTTTGTCGGGAAGGGCACGGAACCCTAGTACACATTTGACCCGCCTGAAAAGGGCAATGTCCAAATACCAACTGGTAGAGATATGGCGAATCCTCCATCCAGCCGAGCGGGATTTTACATATTACTCCCAGTTGCATAGTTCATACTCCAGATTGGACTGGATAATGTTGGATCATGTGGCAATTGAGTCGGCAGAATCTGCAAATATTCTCCCCATGACGATTTCAGACCATGCCCCTGTAGAATTAACATTGAAAAATAATATCTCGTGGGGGAAACAATATAACTGGAAACTGAAAGACTCTTTGTTACATGATCAGGCAGTAGTCCAGGAAATTGGGGTGCTTCTGGAGAATTATTTTCAAGAGAATAATACGGCGGGAATGTCACCGGTAACGGTATGGGAGGCACATAAGGTGGTATTCAGAGGTAAGTTGGTCGCAATAGGGGCCAGCCGTAAGAAAGAAAGGGGGCGTGTCATACAAGAACTACTGGAATCAATTAAACATCTGGAAAGAACGCACAAATCAATGCTAGACTCTGGATCACTTAGGGAATTAACAGCAATTAAAAGTAGTCCTAGAGGCAGAAACCAAACGGGCATTCAATGTAATTTATGGCGCAGGCGCTTAAAACTAAACAATCTCTCACATACATAGCTTAAATTAAAAATAATAAAGGTAAGATGGACTCTACCACTGAGATAGCCGAGACCTTTCATGACTTCTATCAAAACCTATACCAACTAAAGAAGCCGGGAGAACAGGACACACTGACGGAGGGGGCAGAAAAATTAGAAAAAATTAAAAAATATCCAATGCAGGCAAGGCTTCCAATGACAGAAGGGGACTTATTAAACGCGTTAGAAATAGACATTACCCCAGAGGAATTTAAAAGGGTCATAGCCTCGACTCCGACAGGCAAGAGTGCCGGGCCTGACGGATACACGTTGTTATACTATAAGAGGTTCCAAGACCTCTTAAAGCAGCATTTTTGCGCTTATGTAAACTCGATAGGGGAAAATTCCAAAATGCACTGAAAGCAAATGTCACAGTGATTGAGAAGGCAGGAAAAGATCCAAGCTTATGTGCAAGCTACCGCCCTATCTCCCTTATGAACGCAGACACTAAGATCTATGCAAAAATACTGGCATATAGACTCCGCCCCTTTATCCCAACCTGGATACATACAGACCAGGTGGGATTCATACCGGGTAGAGAAGCGAGAGACAACGCTATTAAAACGACCTTACTTATCCACACGGCAAGGAGGCAGGGTGTGCCGGCTCTACTCCTGTCAATAGATGCTGAAAAAGCTTTTGACACACTTAGACTGGAGCTTTATGTTTAGCACATTAACCACGCTGGGGCTGGGGAAGAGGATGCTGCACTGGATAACTGCATTATACGCCAATCCAACGGCAAGAGTGAGAATTAATGGCTCACTGTCGCAGGAATTTAAATTATACAACGGAACACGGCAGGGATGCCCGCTCTCACCCCTACTTTTTGCCTTGGCACTGGAACCCCTGCTTGCCACTATCCGCCTGAATCAAAATATCCAGGGGATAGAGACACAGGCGGGGGAATTTAAAGTAGCCGCTTACGCTGATGACATCTTGCTATACGTAAAATATCCTAGAACAACGCTCCCCCATGTGCTGAGGGAATTAAAGGAATATGGAGACCTCTCAAACTTTAAAATTAACTTAGACAAATCAGAGATCCTAAATTTAACTGTGACAGCAAGAGAGAGACAGGCGCTAACTTCATATTTCCCTTTCCGATGGAAGGGGGACAGGCTTAAATACCTGGGAATCAACTTAACTCCCAGAATTGCGGAGTTATACAAAGCTAACTATATACCGATCCTGAACTCAATCAAAGCAGATTTAGCAACTTTTGGACTGCGTAAACTGTCATGGTTAGGAAGAATTAACGCGGTGAAAATGACGATCCTTCCTAAAGTGCTATTTGTATTCCAGATGATAC